TATCTTAGGAAGTTTAACAGGATGTCCATCACATACAGAGTAGGATGTGCAGACTCTTAGGTGGCCTGGGGGTGTGGCTTGATCACAGAGACTCTTCACATCTCCCTCAGTTTGTTCTGCTCCCAGCACCACATGGTAAAGAGGAAACAAACAACAGAAATCTCAGCTAATAGCAGGGACCAGATATATAAAAGAAGTAAAAACCATGCATGTCATCTGTGACAGCCCCAACAGCAACTGGTGATGCAGAAATAATATCAACTAGAAAGTTCTATAAAATAGTAAACAGAGAGAGAAAGGGTATTAAGAGAGAAGAAAATGGGAGATAGAAAGCAAAATAAAGGTTAGGATATCTAGAACGTGGCAAGGAATAAGGAAAGTGAGAGATGAAGGGTGTAATTACAAAAGAAAAAAGGAGAGAGAATCTTAAAAGATATTGTTAGGAGAGGAAAACAGAATAGTGAAAAACATTTTAAATAAGGAAATATGTAACAAGAAAAAAAAAACAAAAAGCACACACATATTTAACAAATAGACACATGTAAACACATATACATATATGCACACACTAATACAAATATACATACAACACGTGCACATACATATGTAAACATATGCACACACATAAATGAGCCATATACCAAAAGGAAATAAGTATTGCCTCACTGGGTGATTGTATAGGCAAGACTGGAAGCCTCTGCCTTCCACAGTCTGCACCGTGTCTTTCTGGGCTGTGTGTCCTTTGGAGAGAGCAAACAGTTGAGGAACACTCACCCCTTCTTTTCTGTGTTGTTCTCTAGTCCATCAGTGGTGCAGTTTGGGACTGGAGCTGATTAGAACAGCATTATGTCCCTGCTCCCTAGTGTCTGTTTGCTCTGCACAGATTAGCTCAGCATGCCCCCAGGGCTGGAACCACAGTCTGCTGTTCATCTGGCTCCCAGGCACTGGGCGAAGCCCAACCTGGGAGAGCGGTGGGTTGCTGGGTGAGGCGGTGCAGCCTGCTAGCCACAGTTTTCACTGCCGATGACTAGGGCTCTATGAAGCCAGTCCCTGCACATAGCTAACTGCAAGGGTTTGTTTCAGTCTTTAGCTGGCTGCCCTGAGCCACCAGAATCAAGGAAAAAGTGAACTCCACATCATCCATGTCATTAACCTGGACCCAACATAGGTGTTTTTCAATGAGCTTGCTACAGTGGTTCTTCCAAGGTCATTCTGGGCAGGGACGGCATGGCCATATGGTTGTGCATTGTGGGAGAGGGAAGGCTTGGGTATGATCTGTAGATGGCTCCCTGTCACTGCATGCTTGCCCCCGACAAGTGCAGAGCATCAGCCACCTTCCTCTGCAGCTGTCAGAGCAGCTGATTCACCCTGCCTTTCCGTCTACATCTGTTTCTGGATCGGGTATTCTCTGCTGGATTTCTCCTGCTCTGACCTCTCTTGTTCCTCTTCTGCTGCACTGCTGGGTGACCACAGGCTCCACGCTGAGAGCCGGCACCTGGTCTCCCTCAGTCTCGGTCCAGTGCTGAACCTCGGTGCAGCCCCCAGGTGGCCACCTCACCAACGAACTATTTTCTGGATGCTTTGACTCCGAGCCATTCGGAAGCTCGAAGGCATTGCCTCCTTCTCAGGTGCCATCCTACCTTGAAGCTCTTTCATTAGTTTTTGGTGCTATCATCAATGAGACATTTTCCTAATTTATTTTCCAGGTATTTGGTTTTTAGTGTATAGAAACGTAGCTGATTTGGGTGTGTTGTATGTATGTCTTACAACTTTCCTGGGGTTATTTATTAGTTATTGCCATTTTTATTGAGTCTTTAGGGCATTCTGTATGTTAACTAACATAGGGTTAGCTCACTTGCTCTCTTTTTTCTGGTCTGTTTGTTTTGACTTAGACTTACAATGTCAGAAATGATAGGGGTGGTATCAAAGCATTGTTGTTGATTGTGATGCCATCAGCAGGAATTTCATGTATAGACTTTTTTTCATCTTGGAACACTTAAAAGCACATCATTAATATTTTTAATCAAAGCACAATTTCATTGGCATAAGGAAAAACATACAGACCAATGGGTTAGAATAAAGAACCCAGAGTTAAATGTGTGCATATACAGTCAACATCTTAGATGATGTTGCCAAGAATATACATACTAGTGTGCTGTGGATGATTGTTTGATAAATAAAACACTGATTGGCCAGTAGCCAGACAGGAAGTATAGGCAGGATTAGCAGAAAGGGAAAAAGGAAAGGACAGGAAGACAAGGAGGGGAGACACCAGCTGCCGTCCAGGGAGCATCATGTAGAGGCAACAGGTAAAGCCATGGAACCCGTGGCGACATATAGATTAACAAAATTGGGCTTAGTATAAGAGTAAGAGCTAGACAATGGTAGGCCTGAGCTAATGGCCAAGCAGTTTAAATAATATAAGAGTCAGTGTGTTTATTTTATAAGTGGGCTCTGGGATTGGAGAGGCTTGGCAGGAGCTGGAGAGAAACTCTCCAGCTACACTAGTCTCTTCAACAAATGGTGTTGGGAAAATTGGCTATCTAGTAGGCAAAACAATGAAATCAGGCTCTTATACCATATAAAAAGATAAACATGATAAAAATACAGCATACAAAATTCTCAAGGAACTAATAACAATTGCAAAAATAACAAATATATAAAATAAAGACTTACAGACTTAAAAAGAAAGTCCTGACACTGTAAAAGTTGTAGAAGAAAACATAGTGAAAATGTATGTGACATTGGCCATATGCAAACTATTTCACACATGCACACACATGACATCAAATCACAGGTAATTAAAAAAAGTGAAATGAGATTATATCAACCTGAATGGATCATAGTAAAGGGGAGAAGAGAGAAAAATCAGCCTAGGGAATGGGAGGATATTTGTGGACCGTGTACCCGGCAGGGGTTAGTGTCTCAAATACACAAGGCATTCCTGTAGCTCTATAGCAAGACACCCAGCCACCTGATATGAAAAGTGTGTGAGGCCCCAGCAGACATTCCTGCAAAGGCGGCTCACAGGTGGCCAGCAGACACATGAAAGGAGGCCCAGCTTCACTCCTCACCAGGAAAATGCAAATTCAATGCACAATGAATGAGACACCCTCCTCCTGCCTGTCAGCACAGCCATTATCGAATGAACGACAGACAAGATGCTCTGCAGAGACACTGGATCCCTTGTACACGGTTGGTGGGAATATAAAATGGGACAGCAGTTGAAAATTGGGACAGTGTAGGGATTCCTTGAGAAATGAAAACTACAACCCCACCTGAGATGACAGTCCCACTCTGAGTGTCCACAGTAACTGAAGACACATTATTGAAGGGCAATTTAACACTCCCATGTTCATTTCAGCACTACTCACGGTAGCTCAGATGTATAAAGGCCCAAATTACAGAAGATTAGTAGATAAGGAAAATATGGTATATATGTACACAGTGGAATATTATTCAGCCTCGAACGGGAAGCAGTCTCTATTGTATGCTTGAACATAGATGAAATTTGAACATATTACACTAAGTGAAATATACTAGTAAGAGAAAGCCAAATGTACATGTTTTCTTGTTGCTACAACTAAATGCCATAGACTGGATGCCAAAACTCAGAAGTGAGGTCATGTGGGCTAATGGTTCTGGAGCATGAGAACTCAAGGGCATCTACTGAGGAGCTTTTCCTGTATCGTGATATAGGGCATCACATGGCAAGACAGGACAAGCTGCTTAGTAGGAGCTTTCCTCCTCCTCCTTCTCCTCCTCCTCCTCCTCCTCATCATCATCATCATCAACATCAACTCATTGAGTCTATACTGGCCAGTTTTATGTCAACTTTGCACAAGCTGGAGTTATTTGGAAAGAGGAAACCAAGACTGAGAAAATGCCCCTACCAGACTGGCCTGTGGTCAGGTCTATTGGACATTTTTTTTTCCTTTGTTTTCGAGAGCTATTTTTTCCTTTTATTTATTTATTTTTTCCTTTTATTTTATTTTACAATACTATTAAGTTCTACATATCAGCCACGGGTTCCCCTGTTCTCTCCCTCCCACCCCCTCCCCTTCTCCCCAGCAAACCCCCCATTCCCACCTCCTCCAGGGCAAAGCCTCCCCCGAGGACTGAGATCAACCTGGTAGACTCAGTCCAGGCAGGTTGGACACTTTCTTGATTGATGTGAGAAGCCCAGCTCAGTGTGTTTAGTGCCACCCCTGGGCTGGTGGTCCTGGGTGCTCTAAGAAAGCAGGCTGAGCAAGCCATGATGAGTAAGCCAGTGGTAAGTACTCCTCCAAGGCCTCTGCATCAGCTCCTGCCTCCAGGTTCCTGCCCTGTTTGAGTTCCTGCTCCGACTTCCCTCAGCAGTGGAGTGTGACCTTAGAGTTGTAAGCTAAAATAAACCCTTTCCTCCCCAAGTTGTTTATGGCCCTGGGATTTTATCACAGTAATAGAAACCCGAATTAAGACAGAGTCCCAACCTCATGACCTCATAAACTCTAATTACCTCTCAAAAGACCCACCCCCATCTACCATTAGTATGTTGTAACCAAACATACTGTGTTCTGCCCCTAGAGAGTGCCGAGTAAGTACAGCTAAGGAGTGAAAGAGTGGAGAAAGAGTAACAACCTGTGGTGGGAAGGACAGCATGATATCTATTTCCAAGACAATGTGCCCTTTCAACAGAGAAGCATGGAGATTTGACCACAGAACAAATGGTTCACATAGGAAAGCTTTTAGGGACCAGTACATTTCCGAACATGCTCAGTTAGCAAGTGTGTTTCTGATCATGCTCATTTAAAGATCATAGTTGAAGAAGGAAAGATGGTGGGCACATTCAGGCCTGCTCAGCTATGTCATGGAACCCATGTTTGAAAGGTTAAAGTGGTGGGCACCCACACTTCTGAACATGCTTAGCTTGCAGCGTAGTTGATGGATACGAGTACCACAGGCATGCTCAACTTTCTTTAAGTTTTATTTGAAAATAGGAAAAAGTGTGATTTGAAGGTCAACGATATTAGGAGTTTTCCTGGAAAGCTTCCTGCCTCACATTGGAATTAAGTTTTCAATACATGAAATTTGGGGGACACATTGAACCCACAGTGTGCAAAGTGCTTGGAGTAGTCAGATTCCTGGTGACTGGAGGGGAGCAATGTTTCCAGGGTGCAGAGAACCAGGCCGGCCGAACATGAAGTTGAAGTAAGCAAGGTGAGAAAGTTCTAGAGTCTGTTGCTCAGCATCCCACCCACAGCCAGACATCCTGCTTTGTGCAGTCTTTAAATGCTGTGAGAGATAGGTCTCACATTCAATGTCAAATCATAATGCAATTTAAAATATGTTTTTAAGGGAACTTTCGAGAAAATAGCATTAGGTGGATTCTGCTCCCCTGGTCTGAGCCCTCAAGGAGTAGAGCCCCTGGGCTGGTGATATCTGATTTTGAACGTCCAGTTGCGTGAGGAAAAGGGCGATGACCCCTTGATGCTGCCCCCACCATCCTCCCAGCTCCAAAGGGAAAATAAGAACCAGAGTGCCCCAGACTCTCCAGGGAGGTCTGTTCTGACAGCTTCCTCCCCAACAATGAGCTGACACTGGATATCTGCAATCACCAGCCAGTTACTCTTCCTGTAGGGTCTCAATCAGCTTGTCAGATCCCAAGAATGAGGTGGGGTCTCTGTATATGCAGGTTCCGGTTGGACAACCTCAGAGACCTTAAATGCATTCCAGCTCTCCAGGTTCTAAAGCGACTGCTTTGCCTGCTCGTGTTCAGAGGGATGCTTTAGAAAAGAAAAGAAAAAAAAAAAGTTGCCAACCAAGCTAGTTGGTTTCAATTTCCTTTGCCTAAAGATGTCATGGATTGTGTTGTGTGCTGGTGGCCGTCGGATCAGCCACTGCAGTTGTGGGCTTGCTAGGAGAGGGGAGGTGAGCATTAGAAGATGTTTCATTGGATTACAGCTCTGTCCTGTCTTCCCATGGCTGACTTAGACTTTACACCATATTGATGGCTCTCTAGAGACACAGTCTCTAACCTCAAAGAGCTCATGGTTGATGGAAATGCATGGTCCTCGATCATAAGCAACAATAAAATGTAGCAGGATAATGGGATGGCATGGGGCAGGTGGGAAGGATGGATGGTACCACCTGTGTGACTGGAGGACTAGAACTCCAAGTGAGACACAGGAATCCTGGATTGTAGACATGCATCTATTGTTACTGTCCATCACTGTGTATACTGAAACCATGCCTTACTGTCTGGTTACCCATGTAGTGGGAGAGAAGAAAGCTATCTTAGTGATCCCACAGAAGCCCCATTGGGCAGATGTCACATATGTGACAATTAGTGGCAGGCAGGAAAGCCCTCAGGTGTTGATACTCACAGGAGTCCTGTATGCTGCTTCCAGTGAACCAAGTACCACTGGTGTTGGACTTGCAGAACCAGATCTCAAAGGTTTTGTTTCTCTGCATAAGGCCAGAGCCTCAAGAACACTCCCAACACTGAAGATGCCTCCCTAGCAGCCAGTACTGCCTCTTGCTCTTGAAGGTGAAGGTGGGGGCAGTGTTGGCTGTTTGGACCACCATCCAGACAGAATCCTTTCAGGATGGGGTTCAGATCTCACTGAATCTCCAGACCTGAGGGCACCCACAGTGTTGAATCTATGGTCTAGATCGGAAAGGGGTTATGCAGTTGTGTAGATGAGTCCTGACTGGTGACTATACTAATGCACAGTAGACTGAGTACTTCGTTTCCCTGTGCCTTGCCTGAGCTAGTAACTACACCAATGCATAGTTGACTGAATGCTTTGTTTCCCTGTGCCTTACCTGGACTCAACAATATTAGAGGATGCTGGAGCCTTCAGGATACATGGCGTTTTCCAGGTGCATTCGCTCCAAGACCCAGTAGCATAAATGTTTCTTTCCATCTTCATTCATTGCAAGCACATTTTCTGCATATTCTTGATCACAGAACTACTTTAAAATCTTCTTCTGCTAATTCCAACATATTGATCTCTGTTAGCTGTCTTTTCTTTGGGGAATTAGTTGTATTTTTTTTTATTTTTTTGGGGGGAGGTATATTGAATAGTTTTTGGTGCCCTGGACATTGGAGGTATAATATGGAGATGAAAACTATGTTATACCATTATGTAGAGTGTTGGTGTTTTGTTTTCTCTGGCAAGTTAAATGGATTTAGTCTGCAAAAATGTCTCAGGGAAGCAGCTCAAGTCTCAGCTGAGTTCTTTTGTCATCATCTGGGCAGTCTGGAGCCTGCCCTGTGAGCACATGCTTCATTGCTAGCCAGGGGACTGGTTTATGCCAAGAACTCAAAGCCCCAGGCTCTGACTTCTTCTCTGGAACTGCTGCTTTCTTTCCCAGCATCCAAGCTTTTCCATGAGTTTTTTTCTCTGTTTTATTTAAACTTAGGCAAACTTTGGGTTTTCTGCAAGAGTCACTGTACATGATGCCTGTTGCTCAATGTCTACTCAGGATGACTCTGAACTACTGTAAAGTAAGACATAAAAGCTGCAGTCACTCAGCATTCCATACTTCCTCCTTCCAAATGTCAACTCTCTCTCCTTCCAAATCTGCCTTCCAGCTTTTGTTTTCCAGTGCCTGCAGATAGTTGTAGCTTTTATTTTGCCTAGAGTCAACAGTTGTACATGGTGAGAGGTCCGGTCCAATAGTTTATGTCATATCAGAAGTGGATCTCTTTCTAATTAAAAAAAAATGACCATTTTAAGATGGACGCCCTTTGGAAGACTGTGTCACATTTGCAAGATGGCTAGGATGCTCCCAGCCATCATGTCAACATTAAAGGCTGGAGGAACCAGAGACGATAAGCTGTGCTGTCTAGCTGCGACAGCCACCATTTAAAGGGTGTTACTATAGTCTCTCCCAACAGCTTCCACTGGTCAAAGTTGAATTGTGGGGTTAGCAATGGTGTGTGATTACTAAGCTGGGCACATTGCTAGTCACTGAGGCATTAGTTACATGATGCCAAAGAGGAAGAATGGCTGTCAGGAAAAGCAGGTCCAACTGTGACCTAAGAATAGTATAGGAACTGAAACCAGCAATCCGTGTTTAGTGGCACGTCCCTGTAATCCCATCACTCATGAGGCAGAATCATCGGTAAAAACTCCATCTGAAGAAGGTTTGGGCTACGTAGTGAGACCCCGTCTCAAAGAAAACAATTGTAATTCAAATTAATACTGCTTCATACTATTCCTGAAAGACTGGGGGCATCCTGTAAATGTTTGATAATCACTGTAAGTTTCACAATGTATACACCTCGTGGAGTCAAGGGAATCCCAAAGAGAAACACCTAGCCCAACTTGGAACGTAGGAGTGTCAAGGAAAACTCCATAGAGGCAGTGTGATTCCCGAGCCCAAGCTAGAAAACAAGTGGTTGTGGACCAGGCCAGAGGAGAAAGGAGTCTCAGGTACGCAGAACAACACTGAATAAAGTATGGGAAATAAGAAACAGCTTGTTGTGAGTAGGGACATACTTATCTTCTGATCAAGTATGGACTGGCAGGCACAGATGTGAGAGGGATGATCAAGGACTAAGGCATAGAAAGGAGGTGGTTTTTCTCCAGCATCCCCAAAATGTGCTCTGGTTATAGTAGGAGACAATTTTCTATGTGAGAAGGTCGAAGTCTTGTTGGATAAACAGAATAAATGTGTACATACACTGTGGTGGTCTGAATGAGAATATCCTCATAGGCTGATATATTTGAATGCTTGGTCTCCAGGGGGGGTGGAACTGTTTGGGAAGGATGAGAAGGTGTGGCCTTCTTGGATGGGGTTGTGTCACTGGGGATGGGCTTCGAGGTTTCAAAAGCCCATGTCATTCCCAGTTAGCTCTCTCTCTTTCTGCCTGATTGTAGATCAGAGGTGAGCTCTCAACTACCGCTCCAGTGCCATGCATGCCAGCGTGGTGTTGCCATACTCCTCCCTGCATGACAGTCATGGACTCTAACCTTCTGGAACCATGGGCCCCAATGGCAATAGGAAAGTAACATACACACACACACACACACACACACACACACATACACACACACACACACACACACAGAGAGAGAGAGAGAGAGAGACAGACAGACAGACAGACAGACACAGAGGGAGAGAGAGACAGTCAGACAGAGAAAAGAGACAGACAGATACAGAGACAGAGAGGTTGAAAGAGAAAGATTGAAAGAGAGAGAGGAAGAGATGAGACAGAGAGAGAGATTGATTCCTCTCTGGAATCAGGGCAGAGGTGGAGACATGAGCTGCAAGGTCATTATGGCTCTGGGAGATCCAGGCTCCTTGTCCTCCATAACTCTTCTCAAAGATAGGAGCTTTTGCAAACATGCTTGACGTGTTTGGTTAGGCAGGAAGTGGAGAGCTGATAGCCAGGGAAGGAGAGAGGGAGAGGGCAGCTTGGCTGGCCTTCTCCCGCCTTCTCTTCTTTGTGACATGCCAACCCAAGTCTGGTCATAAACTCCCAGGCCTCTGGGTGTGCAGGAATGGGGGGAGGGTGCACGATTCTGCCTCTCATGCCAGGGGCCGGGCTGTGCCCTCCAGTGCCCCTTCTCCTTGCTGTGTGGATGGAACATCTCCAAATTGTCAGCCAGGGGTTTCTTCTCTTAGCTTTTTTTCTGTTTGTTAAAAAAAAACTTTCAGATCTGTTTCTGTTGATGATTCTCTGGAGTAGTTTGCATCTTTCAATTCAGTTTACTTACAGCATCCACTTCCAAAGCCCTGTGCTGGGCTTGGAAGAACTCATGTGTGTGTGTGTGTGTGTGTGTGTGTGTGTGTGTGTGTGTGTG